GTATATATAATTTGCTTATATTCAAATTTAATTTATTTAATAAATAATATTAATTTATTAAATTAATTAAATATATATTATTTTATTTTATAATATATATTATTTTAAAGATTAAAAATAATATATATAAATATAAAAAATAAATATATAATAATAATTTATATATATATATGACCCATTAATTAAAATTTTATTATAAATCATTGATAACAAGTGTTATCCTTTAAAAGAAATAATATTTTTATGATAATTATAATGATTCAAAGTACGTATCATAAAATTTGCAATTACAATGCATTCAAAATTTCGCATAACTTGTCTCATTGATTGATTTAGTTATTTAGAACACATAACAGTATAACAAAATGGGCATTTCGATTAAATAGCGGTAATATATTGTTCATTTTCACGCATGTTTAACGAATAATATAAAAATGCATGTGTTATAGATAAAAATATCCAATAATATTCGTTCATTATTTGCTTCATAATTCGCCTAGTCTAATTTATTATATTTTAATAAGCATGTTCATAGACTTTTTTAATATAGCTTGTACATAGTTTCATCAATTTTTATTTCATTTTTTGATCTTACTTACCCTTTTGGCTATCACAATTTCTCCATTTTTGTATTATCTTGTATAACACAACGCTTGATTAATCATTTTTAAACTCGATGCACGGAGATATATTTATGATCAAAAATCTATTCCCGATAAACACAAATAAATTGTATTATATTTTTCTAAATAATTTTTTTTTTTAATATTTATCTATTTTCTTATTTCTTAATTTAATTTCAATTGTATTTGTGCTGTGAGCTATGAGCTAGAATTCATTTCTAATCTGATTTTTATTTCACTGCGTTTCATGAATCTTCTAAATAAAATCAAATAATTTTCCATTCATTCTTCTTTGCTTCGTTTTTTCATTATTTTTGCTAAACAATCAACCAGTTAATCAAAAAAGACAAAAAATGATTTTTAATCTAAAAAGGTAAATGTAAAAGATATTTAGAGCACAAAAAGATTCGAAGTTAAAAAAAGAAAAACTTAACCTATTAAATTTGAACCATCCTGGAAGGATAGAAATTTGAAAATGAATAAATGAACTCGTTGTTCATCGGGTTTTTAATTTTTATAGAGGGTGATTGTAGGTTTATAAAATTATCCTTAAAAATGTCTCTATCGATTCGCACAAATATACAAAAAGAAAATATTTAAAATGAAGTGTAAAGTGTGCCGATTAAATTACAAAAAAAGATTTAAAAAAACAATTCATTTAACAATTTATTTTTTATTACAATTTAAAATCATAGGCTCAATATTTTTTTCATTTTTTTTTTTTTTTGTACTAATTGTAAATCACAAAATGGGAAAAAATTTATATTCAAATTTCTTTAAAACAATTTATAAAATATATAATTTCAATAATTTCACTTATAATTAATCTACTGTCCCAATTATTGGCACGAGTATAACTTGCTCGTATATATTCTTGTCTCTTTAACCATAAATTCGCTTATTAAAAATTACGAATTAAATTTTTTCAAATAGAAGAAGACTGATCGAACTCATGGGCCTAGATTCGCGCTCATGCTATAATACGTAAAAATAAAAACTAATTAAAAAACAAATAAACAAACAAACAAACAAAATACTAAAACTAACACTAACAAATAACAACAACAATAACACAATAATAATAATTACTATTATTATTATATCTAAAAGAAAACTACTCTCGATTGAAGAAAAATGAAGAATTAAAAAAAAAAAGAAAAAAAAAGAAAAAAAAAATTAAAAAATAATAAAAAGAAAGAAAAAGCATTTTCCTTACACACGATATAACGAACTATTTAATTAAAATAATTAATCGTAAATAACGTCTGTAAGCCATGTTTGTCACACCGTTAAATGGTCTAATCGTGTGCGTGTAACTCTGGCATCTTAATGCACCATCATCGGACGAGAAACTCTGTAAACTCTGTATATATACATATACGTGTAGGAATATACGTGTGTCGTCCTTGTGTATCTGATTGGACCCTGCCTTGTACGAGATTAATTAAAAATACAGCATCCTTCAAAAAGTTTAGATTATAGCGAGCTAACGTGATAATAATAATAATAATAATAATAATAATAATAATAATAATAATAATAATAATAATAATAATANAATAATAATAATAATAATAATAATAATAATAATAATAATAATAATAATAATAATAATATTAATAATAATAATAACACGGTATATACAAGGTGTCCGAGATTTTTTCTACCAAACGATATGAGCATATTTTATGCACGAAAATAAAAACAAAGTGTTACATAAACGTAAATCGTTTAAAATATTATAAACAAATTAAAAAACAAATAGTAAATCATCTAATTTTTCGTTCAAAGAATTGAACACCTATGCGAATTAAAGTATGACACCGGTGTTAGATCAAACCAACCTGTTTCACATAATTGTTAATGCATAATCGAAAAATTTGAATGATGTTTGATTATTCTAGCAAGAAATTTGCAGTAATATTCTTTTGTAGCAACCTCGAGTATTACCGTATGATTTATTCTTAATTTTAAAATATTTTCGATTAGGGCTAGTTAAATCATTTCGAAATAATAAAACGTCATAGATAAACTCGTACAAAAAAGTTAAAATAATCCATGATGTCGAATATTCACAAACATTTATATGAAATTTTAAATGATTTATGTACTTATGTAACATTTTGCTATCTTATTTTTGTACAGAAAATACATTTACATCGTTTGATCGGAAAAATTTCAGACACCTTGTAGATATTGAAATATATATAAATATATAAATATATATATTCGAATTATATAAAATTATTATTGCATACGCATTACCGAAATCAATAATTATTTAATCACTTTGGAATATATAATGACGGAAGGTGTTCCATTAGCCTTAATCATCCTGATACACCACGATTATGTAAATATAAACTATAATTTCAATGTGGAATAAAAAAACGTGTTGTGTGGGTTCTTAATCGACCTTCTTTCGCCTTTTTTTTACTAGTTATCGTGGATGAACTCACAGGTATGGGCAATAAACAAAAAAAATTTAAGAAAAATTCAATAAATTAATCAACTTTTCTTCTTTTTTTTTTTTTAATCATATAAATCAGTATATGTTTATACCTTTCTATATTCTTTTATCTTACGTGTATTTATTTTATTATACATTAATTTATTTCTATCATTCTTTCTCTCGTATAGTACTTGTTATTCTTTCTCTATCCCTTACTCTCTCTCTCTCTATCTCTCTCTCTTTCTTTCTCTTTAAAAATTTTGTTTAACGTAAAATTTGTTGGTCTAGGATTAATGTGTGACTTAAAATAAAAAAAAAATAAAAAAAGGGAAATAATAAAATATGCTGCATCATCGCACGTGCTTTTGCTTTTTAATTTGTTTAATTTTGTCGTCGTGACTTACTAACCTAGAAAACTTAATTGTATTTTTGAAAAGTAATTCTTTATTAATTTTTATCATAAAAAAAGAAAAGATACAATATTAATCAAAACTTTTTCATCATCCTTATTAACATGAAATCATCAATATTCATTCTAATAAATTTTCATTTTCATATTTAAAAAAAAAACATCTAATAGCGTTTAATAATTTCCTTAAAGAAATCCTCTGTCTCTGTCCTTAGTTTCTAATTTGGATAATTAATCCAATAAGTATGTAAAGTGCTTGTGTTTACTCGTAGCTTCTTCGTCTATCGTGAGAAGATAATTAAAACAATATTATGCTATTTAATGGATCAGTATTTGAAATAAATTGTCAGTATTTATAATAAAAATATCATTATGCAAATAGAATTAGTCTGTATTACGTAAATTAATTAATTATAAATAGTTGATTAGTATTTATAAAATATCAATGCACATACCCTATTATAAATACTGACAAATAATTATTCATATTAAAAAACAAGAGTCACATCTAATTATTATTATTTATTACCAAAATGCTGACTCCCCTAAAAAAAAAATGATTAAAAAATACTATCCAAATAAATAGAAGTGTCCTAAAAAAAAAAAAAAAAATTATCCAATTGAATAATAAAAATAAACGAATGATAAAAAAATAAAGTAATATTTTATTGTACAATTGTTTACCGCAGGGTTCGTTGAGTCGAGCGTTTGGTCTGCGACCGAAAAGTGAAAAGGCGTCGCCATCTTCCTCATCGGATACCGGAAGTCTAGCTAGTCAATGTCAATACATGAACAGTGTGAGAAGTAATTCACCGGCACCCGAGATCACCGTTGGAAAGAAACATCGTCGTGTTAAGAGTATCGGTGACATCGAATACATAACTAACGTTGCAGTTAACACAGCAGTCTGACAAGAGGATAGGCTCCATCATCCGGGGCCTTATAGAAGTTTAAGCGAACGTGGTTATTCATCATCATATTCGTCATCCCAATGTAGCTCATTTTCTGGTTACAGCAATGTACTTGCCGATGATCAATATCAATGCGAATCAATATCAGCTGGTAATTATTATCAATTACAAAGCAGCTCTTATTCCCCACAAAGCATAGGCCAACCATTCCCAGGTGTACAAAGGTATGGTAGCCTGGCTGAAGAAACTTGGCAATCTTCCACTAAGGAAGACAATAATATCAAGAAGAAAAATCAACGAACTTATCACGAATAAATTTTTTGTTTTTCTTCTTAATATTTATTATTAGATTAGTCACACACAATCATTTTTTTTTTTTTTTAAGTATATAACACAATTAAAATTGCATAGATTCAGTATTTCTAAATATATTTATTGGCTGATCTAATATAAATATTGGGTGTACCATAAGTTGATTTATTAAATTGCAAAAATTAAACTACTTTTTTTTGTGAAAGGTTAACATGGTAGGCCCAGAATTTTTTAACAACACTAATTACAGTTTCATATCTTAAAATGATAAACTAAGCACACTTTCTATTCAAATTATCAAATTATCAAATTATCAAAATTCTGATTATGATTTCTTCATTTGGTTTATTTCTTTTTATCTCTCATAAACTTAAGTTTTTGTTTTACAATTAGTCAAAAAGTAAAATCTTATTACGCGAATCTAATAAATGTAATTTTTTTAAAAAGAAGAAGATAAAGATGGATGACCCATAATTCGCACAAGAACGAACTTATTAAAACAATTACTGAGAAATTGTTTTTATTTTTCAAAAGTAACAACTGGCCTATAAATCCTCATCATACTATATTTAAAAAAAAAATGAAATGAAATGAAATGAATATCTGTGATTCATTTGACTTAAAATTCATCCTTCTACAACATTGATGAAATAAATGATAATCGTGTTGAACAACGAATTTCATTATTTCGCATCATACAAACAAGATGATCTATGTTTTTTATGTTCTATCTGGTACTAATTATATTATATATTCCTGCCACATAACAGATACAATTAATAGGATGATAATAATATGATAATAAACGCATTATACAATAAACGCATACTTGTGCCGATAATTATGACAGTGGTCTAAATTAAAAAATCAAAAAATATGGACAAATGAATTTTATGATTAATTTAATATTTAAAGTGATTGAGGAATATAAAATATATTTTATATTCCATATATAAAATAATCATTATTTAAATTTAAATTAAATTATTTAAATTAAATATTTTAATATTAATATAATATTTTAAGTTTATATTAGAAAATAAATGATCTAATAAATTTGTATAATTTATTGACATAGGCCACTATCATAATTACCTTGACTAATATAAAAATGATTGTCTTTATTAATTGTTAATATTTAATATATAAATAATCGGATCATTGAGTGTATATAACAATAAGAAAAGGAAAAAAATTGTCTCTCTAATTAAATAATAGAACTCATTTAATCTTAGAATTAGAAAAACCAGGCAAATGATTCAAATAATTTAGAATTAGCCTAAAAAATAAATTATAAAGATGAAGAAGAAAACAAAATTAGTTTTGTCAAGTGCATATCCATAAAAAAAAACCTTAATAACATTTAAAAAATAAAGGCACAATAATATAAAAATGATGAATAAAAATAAGAAACAAAATATTTGAAATATTCTAAGAAAAGAGGGGGTTGTTTCCATTTGTAATCTGCCGCAACTCCCCATTTGATGTAAAACTAATTGTGAATGTTGCTATTGTGTAATTAAATGAAAGAAAAACAAAAACGCGTTTTGTTTAGATTACGTTTCAATTAATTGATCGAGTAATAATCGTTAGTAATATTAACTGGTAGTTAGGTTTTAATTAATAATAATCAACAACACGTCGTCGAGTTATACAAATAATCGAATATTTTTATTACTGATTATTTTCCCCCCAAAAAAAAGAATCTATGAATATTATCTCGCGTTTTCGTTCTTTCATTTATTTATTTGTGCTTCCTCTCCATTTTTGTGTTCGTAAATTATTTAAAAAATGAATATAATAATAATAATATATAATAATAGATATATATGATAATAATAATAATAATAATAATAATAATAATGATGATGATGATGATGATGATGATGATGATGATGATGATGATGATGAAATGAACATGTTGATTGTCACGTTTGTCACCAATAACCATCGTTTGTTCTATCGATCAGAGGAAACCACGGGGGTCATCGGTGACCGGCGTTGCTATGTTGTTTTATATTTAATCTTAGAATTGTGGCCTCTAAGATAAAACGTGTCAAAACGTGCGTGTCAATCAACATATTATAATGATAAATAATTTCGGGGAACAACAAATTTATTCTTAACGAAATTATAACTAATCCCAAACGCACACATAATCTGAAAATTATACATATGCATATACATATAATATATATTTAAAAAAAAAAAAAAAACAAAGAAAAAGGAAATTGTATACAAGTGTGTATGTGTCTCATGTAAGAGATAAAAAAAATAATATCATTGTTGCTCTAATCTGATAGAAATACACAGAGTAAGATTACTGAATTCATGTTCTAAAGCATCATTTACTAAGTGGCTTACTAATAAAAAGTGGGTTTTCAATGAATATATTAAATACAATTAAAAGAAACAGAGAAAAAAGGAAAAGTTTAAAAGAGAAAGTAGAAGGAAATAAAATGTGTATAATCTATGATTCAAAATATCATATCACAGAAATTAAAAGAACAAACAAAAATATTGTAACGATTGTACTGCCTTGTTGTATCAGTATTCCACTATTCCAATTAACGAGAGGATTAGTTTGAAAAGTTTTTAGCCTCAATGTAAAAAAAAAAAAGGAACTAAGAATACTAAAAAGAACAGAATATTGGGCTCAAGACTTTTCAACCCACCCACTTAAATGATTGAGTAAGTAATAATAATAATAATACTAATAATAAATAAATAAATAGCTTTTATTTATCCATTGCGTATCAAGCACAAAAATAAGAGAAAAGGAAACCAAAAAAAAAAAGAAGAAAAAAGAAAGAAGAAATATAAAAAATAGGGGGCCACTATGAAACAAAAATTATAACAAAGGACAATGAAAGGTAAATGTATATGGTATAGTGGAAGAACAAAATAAACTTACAATTAAACGTAAGATGGAAATATGACAATATATTATCAAATGAAGGAAAAAATGTCGTGGTGAAATAATTTTTAAGAAATGAAAAATGTACATTATAAAAGAATGCGATTCGATGATATTGGTGACTTACTTATGTGTGTTTCTATTTCTTATGTTTATTGAACATTAAGTATTAGTAATGCATAGTTTTTAATAATTACCATTATAATATTTACTTAAATGCATAAAAATACACTTACGAGTGCACAATTGCATTATATTTCGATTACATTCCATTGTAGCTTTGGCTCACTGTGTATTATTGCGAATATAATTTTTGACGACATTACAAAAGATCGATTGAACAATTTTGAGCCTATTTTTTTTTTTCTAAACCAGTTTTCACAGACTATGTCGAAAAATGAAGAAAAGGAAAAAGTGAATTTAACTGGAAAAAAATAGTTTCTATATTAGGCTCAAGACTTTTCAACCCACCCACGTAGTTCTTAGATTCGAGCCTTGATTACTAAAAAAGAAAAAACACAATCATAGGTAAATATTTAGCTGATATTTAGCGAAAAGTTTGAAAATACGAGAATGTCATATATAATAATAATAATAATAATAGTATAAACAAAAAAGTATAAACAAGTTATACAGAGATATATATATATTATCCACATAATCGAAACATTTAAGACCACGATAAATAATTGGGTTCAATTATAATTCCCTGTACAATTAAGAAAGAAAAAAAAATAAGAAATTAGGGGGAAAAAATGAAGGAAAGAAATAACTGCCGATAAATAATTGCGTTTGTCCTTATAAAATTTCATTTGTACGAATATACGAGGTTGGGTTGAAAAGTTTTGAGCTTATTCTTATCTAGAAAAGAAAAAAAATCACAAAATTTGTCTCCACGTTAGGCTCAGAAACTTTTATTCAACCCATCCACGTATTTCTTTTCGAAGACAAATATTTTTTTAATACTAATTACATTATTCCTAACTTTGAGAAATAATTTTCACTGACAATTGAATTGCGCGTGTTTCGTTGGAAAAGTATTAAAACGAATTATGAAAGAGAATATTAAAAAAAAAAAAAAGCACAAAAAGGAAAAGAAAAATAAATAAAAACAAATACCACCGACTGCATCGTTGTATGGGTGAAAATAGAAAAACTATAAAATTTCCTTAAAAAAACTGAAATAATAGTTAAAAATAAAATTGTATACAACTATACTTTGATATTTTTATTCTACATAAGTAAAATCATAATTTTTGAAATAGTGCAATATATGTAATCTCTTGTATCGAATATTTATCTATTTATCTATTTATCTAAATAACACGAATGCATTTGCATCTCTCGATTAATTAATTTGAAGCGTAAAAAAAAAGACTTCTATTGATTAAATATATATATTTCTGTAATTAATTATATTTAATTGACAATGACAAATGTAACATGTATTTTATAATCGTGCACATAATTATGTGTACTAATATGGATAACATTTTTTATATATCGATACATTGAGAATTCTTATTGACGATTATAAACAGATTACTCTACTTTCCATGTGTTCTGCTTCTTATTACTATACATATACATATATATATATATAAATAATTTATTCATCGGACAAAAAATATGTGTGTGATTGTAAATGATATTTTTGTAGATATATAATATTTATAATTTAATATTTATTATATAGGAAATCATTTGACAATGTTTCTTCGAACAATTTCTCTATCTATTTCTATTTGTTAATTTAATTTAATTTAATTAAAAAAAAAAGGAAAGATCGCACGAAATGTACCGAAAATGTATTGTTCGTGAATTTACAGCTCTTGCGTTCCAAATTCAACTTTTTACAAATGAAATTCATCTTTTTGAAAATCGAGTTTAATTTGATTTGCAAAAAGATGAATTTGATTTAAGAATAATTAAATTTGCAATGCAAAACCTGTATATCGATATAAAATCGTGACGATTTAAAAAATATTAAAAATTGTCATGCTTTTTGTCTACCTAATCAAATTGAATTTGGAAAGATTCATTTCAGATCTGGCGTGAAATAGTCATGTATATGTATATGCGAATTAGTCAGATCAGTACTATGTGATCTGATTTATATTTTACATAATATCAACTAACGATAGATCGCAATATCGTTATGTCATCATCGTAATATTCGCTTGCGAATATCTATTTAAAATGTGAGCTAAAAAGATTGACAAAATATTGTTGTATATGTGACCAGTACTGTTTGTATATATTTGTGTGGATTGTACCTAAATATTAAAAAAAAAAAAAAATAACAGAGAAATAAACAAATACTTTTACTTCTGTGCAATGATGAATTAATTACGTTTTATAATTTCAATAAGTATCACATCGGTAATAAGAAAAAGATTAAAAAAAAAAAAATATTGCAAAAATTGATAAGTCGATAATCATCGATAAAAAAGTTTATCTTCCTTACAGATAAATGGCACTACCAATCGTTGTTACCAACAGAGTAAGAAAATAAAAGCTACTTTTAGGCGCGATATTTTAAAATAAATTTATAAATGTAAATACAAAATTATTAGTTAAAATTATCTTGTAATATTTCAATTAACATCAAAAAATAAGTATATTTTATAATAATCTTTGCAATTATGCTAAAAATTTATTTAAAAATAAAAAAGAATAATTAAATAGGTAAATATGAAAAAAAAAATGAAACAATTTAATGAATTCATTAAAAGATTATTATTTTTATCTGATCATAAATAAATTACTAAAATTTATTAAGAATTTAATAATTATTTAAGGTTTCCTGTTAAATTATAAATTGACTTTTTCCTTGATCGTTGGTTTTATTGTTATAATCTAATTAAGGAATGCATTCATTGTCAATTTCGTAACAGGGAAGTCCCGTTAAAATAAAGTCAACATTGATCATTTGATTTAAGAGGAAATTTATCATATGGAAATTACGTTTACTCACAGATTGTCTTTATTAGTTTCATTCGCTCTCGTTGCAGAGCTCATTCTGCTTCGCGAGACGTCAACGAGAACCGGTTCTACTTCGCTTAAACTCAAAACATAATAATTACTAAGAATTCTTCTTTTTTTATACAATAACAACAATGTACGCTATTAGGAGAATTGTGACAGCTAATATCACGTATGTTTTTATACATTTTACTTTGTAATCGAATTTGTTCATTTGTGCATTAAGCATTACATAATTTCTAACCCTTTTTACCATCAACCGCATTTCATTCAAATACCTGATACCATTTCTGCATTATATTTGGACTCATTTTTTAAATAAAAAATTGAATTAAATAAAAAATGTATAAACATTATAGTACTAAAGTATCCATAGAAAGTATTTTTGTTCAAAATGTCATACTTTTATTTATTGATCATACTATGTTTGTTTAATAATTATGATATCAAATATTTAGTTTCGTTATTAGTTTAAATAATTAAATATTATATAATTAATTGTGTAATTATTTATTTTATTATATTTTTACAGTAAGGAACAATGTGCAAGATTAAAACATACCCTACCAGATTTACCTTACGAATACAAAGCATTGGAACCAATAATAAGTGCAGAAATTATGCAATTGCATCATTCTAAGCATCATGCGACTTATGTTAACAATTTAAATGTTGCCGAAGAAAAGATGAAAGAAGCTGTCGCCAAAGGTGATGTAAATACACAAATTGCGCTTGCTCCTGCTATTAAATTTAACGGAGGTGGTCATCTTAATCATAGTATCTTTTGGGCTAATCTATCACCCCATGGTGGTAATCCAGATGGTATGTTTAAAAAATATATTATTTAGGTATAATAAAATCATTACAAAAGTTCTTTTCAGAATATATAATCTTTTTTAATGATTAATCAATATTATATTTATGTTCTGATAAATTATGCCAAATAAAACCCATGTTTGTTACATTTAAAGCATATCACAAGACTCAAACGTTGTTATAGTGCAAAGGTTTAATTAGTTCAAAAATAATCTACCACTTGTCTTATCTATTTTTTAAAATATTGAAAAATTTAGTAGAAATTTATAAATTTAATATAAAAAGAAATAATTGATTATAATATTATCATACTTTTTTTATTTATGCAATTTTGACCTTCCAATCTTTTTTCATGATAAGATACTTAAATTGACTAATTTTAGAAAATAATTGTAATATAAATGAATGTTTTGACAGGTACCCTTATCAAACAGATAGAAAAAGATTTTGGTTCTCTCGAAGAGATGAAGAAACGTTTATCAGAAAGTACCATAGCCGTTCAAGGTTCTGGTTGGGGATGGCTTGGATATGATCCGAAATCTAAGTCCCTCAGAATTGCAACCTGTGCGAATCAAGATCCTCTACAAGCTACAACTGGTCTCGTACCACTCTTTGGTATCGACGTTTGGGAACATGCTTATTATCTTCAGTATAAAAATGTACGACCGGATTATGTAAAAGCAATCTTTGATATTGTTAATTGGAACGATGTCAATGCTCGCTTTAAACAAGCAGCTGGCTGCTAATTGCATTAACATATGAAAACCAGTGTAATACATCACATTGAAAATTAGCATTGTGCACCATATAAAGCACTCATCGATTTTAATATTTTCTTTTTATATAAAAAAAGTCTAAAACACCTATCGAAGTGTTTTTAATTTATAGAAATATGTCAAATAATATTTTAGGTTGTTATCATATGCATATATAAATATAGTAATAGGAAAACAAACATTGTATTTACTTATATACTGTTTATATACTTTTATCATTAACTTTATATGCATCGCATAAAAACAGCTAACATGTAAATTAAAAAATATAATTATTATATTAATATCTTTATTACTCTCCCACTTTTATGGGTTTAAGGAATCTTGACGATATTTCCTCATCTTTTAGAGTCAATAGCACAGTGTCTGTTGGTTGTCGCCTATCCAAATATTAATCATGTTTATTGTTTCATTTTAGTTATCCAACAGAAACTACGTTTAACAGGACAAATCCATTAATTGATTGTAATATTGTATAAATTATTAATTTTATAAATATATTATTTTAAAAATAAATAATAACATTATTTATAATACTAAACAGTTATAATAATAATAAAAGTATATTATTATATTTTATTAAAACTTTTCAATAATAAATTTAAGCACATACACATTCACACACAATTGTTAAAAACTAGGTTTCTAACCAAAAATCTCTTATCAATATATAACCATTTATTTAAATTTATAATAATAAAAATAAATAATTAAACATATTATTATATTATATTAAGACTTTTTAATAATAAAGTAGAACACACATACACATTGATAGAAACTAGGTTACTAACCTAAAAAGTCTAATCAATATATTATATACAATAAATAAATCAATTTTAAAAAATCAAAGATTTTCAAAAACTAACCTAAACACGCTATTTTTAAAATAATAAATTAATATTTTAAATATTAAATTTCATTATTATATACGATAAAAATTGTTGTTATGTCGTTGGCTATACGAATCTAAATGTTCTAAATACTTTCACTTTTGACGTTTGGCAACGCTGTCTTGAATTGAAGCCATCAGAAGACATAAACGATAAAAAGAAGAAATATTATAACCTTTGGTATTTTCTCTTACCAGTTATAAACAAAATAAAAAGGATTAATAGAAAAAAAATATAATATCCTGTTACATAGTCAAATAATTCTAACAGCATTATATTCTATTCGTGTAATATCGTGACCTATTAAATCTAAATTATTAAACATATGCACGTGTAAGACGTTATTAGAACTGTCATTATTAAGAAAATAAATTTAGTGAAAGATGACAATGGGCGATGAGACTCCAATTACATCTCTTGTACTTCCCGTTATATTACGGCCAATTTTAAATAAGGTATTACCTGATCTAATATCTTTAATTATTATTACATTTAATTATATTTACAAAAAAAAAATATTTATTCAAAAATCAATATGAATTTTAAAGATTGTCAATAAAATTGTCTTGATTTTAATATAGCACTTTTCTTTTTAAATTTAGTTGGAGAGACAAAATGTTATGGCAGCTCAAACTTTATGCACTGCACTTTCAAAAGCAGAAAATTCATATCCTGGTATAATGCACGACCTCATTCTTGGAATAATACAAAGGGCTGAATTAAATCTCGATATGAACGAAAGCGTTTTACGCTTGCAAGGCGCTGCTTCTGATTACGACGGTAAAATTCAATTGCAAATTAAACAATTATTTATAAATAAAAGTGTTAACACAATTATAAATTTAAAGATAATCTATTAAGATAGAATATTTTAATTAAGATGTTGTTTGTTACAGTTGTTGAGTATCGGACTGCTAGATCTGAAGATGCTTTCCAAGAATTAAACCGTAAATCTATGTCACTGAAAAGAATATTGAGTCGTATTCCAGATGAAATAACAGACCGTAAAACATTTCTTGAAACAATTAAGTAAATAATATTATATTTATATATTTTTTCTTGATGTTACATAGTTTAAGAATTATATTTTGATTTAATTCTTGCAGAGAAATAGCAAGTGCAATAAAAAAGTTATTGGATGCTGTAAATGAGGTTGCCGCATTTATACCAAGTTCGACGAGAAAACAAGCATTAGAGCAACGTAAAAAAGAGTTTGTAAAATATAGTAAAAGGTTTAGTAACACGTTGAAGGAATACTTCAAGGAAGGACAGTAAGTAGATAGATACAATGTTTATACTTATAAATTTTCTCATTTATAAGAAATTTCGAGTGTACGTGTATGTGTATATATATATATATATATATAATCATTAAAACATTTAGGACATCAGTTTTTTTTTTGGTATAAGAATTCTTATAAAATATTGTATAAATATTGTGCAATAATTCAAATCTCTTAACTTAAATATGATGAACATTTTGAACACATTTATCATATTCTATCATATACACTTTTTTTATTTTTATAGGTAGTAGCACCTCTCATTTAATACTTGTCTTTTTTTTCTGTACAACTCGCATTATCAGTTGACATTTTGAAAAATATATTTCAACAAAATTACAGAAAACTTGTATTAAAAATTAAATTGTCGTGGTAGATAATAATCTTCACTAACAAGAATAGTTCATGCATGTAATCTTTTGTTCTTTTTTTTTTTTTAATTTCTTTTTACGTTTATAAATGATAATACATTATTTAAAATAAAAATGTATAATGACTTTGATACTATTTGTGACATTGTTTCAGAGCAAATGCAGTATTCGTGAGCGCGTTATATCTGATACATCAAACAAACATGATAATGCTCACGGTTAAGGATAAATGTGAATAAAAAATTCATATGGCTCTTCGGGGATCGTTGGTCTGTGTGATACCATAACAAAATAATCGATATATACATATATATATATATATATATATATATATATATATGTATGTATTATAATATTCTATTATTGTAGAATCTATTTGTTTGAAGATTATATTTAAATAATATGTATAACGTGATAAATAGATTACCACTATTTTATCCACAGTGGTTGCTTCTAATAGCAGCGTACAATTATCATACATATACATGTTAAATAAAAAAAAAACTGTTATCTTATTATTAATATTACAACTATTTATATTACATTAGTCGCAGTTAGTTTTTTTTTCTTTTTCGTTTTATGTTAAACAAAGAAAAATTGTAAATGCTTTTACTCGTTAACAAAAAACGATGAAACATTTGCGAAGGAAAAAATGTATTAGAAAAAATATCTTATTTAATTGATTATAAAGGAAATGAATAAAAAAAAAAAGTTATTTTGTAAAACAATGCTCGTACAATGCAAATAGATGTATCTCTTTACAAGAAAAATAAGAATTCATTACGACTATTTTCTCGTGCTTTCTTCTTTGTGTCATATTAATAACAGTGAAGAGGAGATGTATAGGAAGAAGCTTAACAATAATAATGATTTGAAAAGTTTTGCTAAAAAAATAAAATTAAAAAAAGAAATAAAAAGTAGAGATACTTCAAGCACGTTTACTATCCGAAAATGCACGTACGATACTACCTACTCCGCTAATATTATAAACTTTCTCGTGCCATACTAACAAGTGATTACTGCTACCTTCTGTTGGAATTTCAAATCCTCTATAAATATATTTCATTAATACATCCATTAAATCATGATCTACTGCGTCTAACTGCGCCAGACAATCATCCATTTGATTTGACTTTATGCTTAGAAGAACCTTCTGTGTTAAATTCCTAGCATTGTCCTGAAACGTTAGTGTCAGTGTTAATAAGGAATTACATTTTATTATTAAAAGATTTTAGTAGAAATAAAGGGGAGAAATAATTAAATTATATAACAACTTTATCCGATTCTAATCAATAAAAAAAAAATTAACAGATAAGAAAAAATTGAAAACGGAAGAGTGAAGGTTTTGTTGAGGTTACCTTTATCTGTTGGTTCTTACATCCTAGTGGTGCTGATTTTAAAACGGATATCAATGCTTCTGCATTCTTACCCTTAAAAATATGTTAAGGAAACTATACGATTAACTTACTAATTAAACTATTGTCAAATTACACATACAAATATATATACATATATATAAAGATAAATAGATATGTGAAATTATGCGTGAAAGGATATTGGCTAAGAAGTGTCAAAATTTCATTTTCGTCGGGACCAGTTGGTCCCGTCGAACCAGCATCGGCATCCTCTTCTTTGAAATTATTATCACTGTATTGATCAACATCTATTTTTCGGAACGCTGACGCCGACGTATCTTTTTTACCGTCGTTTCTCGACATATCTATTATTATCTACCACCGTAAACCTTGCAAGGATCACGCCTGATCACGCCCGGCTTATTGCCATGCTATGACACAAAGAATGTATTCTATAATCAGTGGCCATCGTGGCTAGGAAAGCGACATCTTCTTACGTTCGTTTGACACAAAAAAAAAACGATTGAAGCGCCATCATATAATTCACGTCGGTAATGTGGAATTCTGCAAAAAAATATTAATGATAATTCTGATCAATTGTTTATAGAATCTCTATTATAATACATATTTTATGATTAAAGATACAAAAAAAGAACAAGTTTTATATTAGATTTAAATTTGTACCGCATGATTTTGTTTTTTAATTGTGTTTATAATTTAGTCGAACGTTATGGATTGCCCACCACTTGTGAATTTATTTAATAATCCTAAAATAATGTGGTATCAAACGGATACTACAATTGTTATTCGTATTATGTTACAAGATGTAAAGGATTATTTTCTTAAAGTCGAAGTTGATCATTTACAATTTAGGTAGAAATACATTGTAACAAAATAAAGATTTTTAATACTTGTTTACATTGATAGTAATTTTAAAATGTTAAATAAAAAAAAATAAAACGTTTAAAAAAAATGTATTTTTAGCACCATATTAAACAACAAAGAATATTATGTCAATTTGTATCTATTTGGCAGTGTGGTACCAGAAAAAACGATTCACGTTAATTTGGAAAGAGAAATTAAAATCATTCTTATCAAGGCATTTAAATGTAATTTTTATAATAATTTTTAAATTATTTTTAACATGACATGTATATATGTGTATACATAAATATTAAAAAAAAATATTTTATGTTGCAGGGTTACCTTGGTTGAGATTACAATATCATAAAGAAAAATCTCCTTATATTATTCTCGATACAGAACATTTATATGAAACTAATTATAGTATGGATGAAAATAGGCTTATAATGATTGATGGTAATTATAACATTTTTTTCTTACGATATATAAATTTTTAATAATTACATCATCTTCTAAACATTTTGTATGCGTTTAAAAAGTTTAATATTATATTATAATTTTTTATTGTGCAATACAGAAAGCCCAAAGTTAGCTGAAAGTTTACGCAAGGAAAATATTCTGCCTGAGATAGTTGATGATGATAGTGAGTCTTCCGATGGATGGATGGATGATATATTTTTATAACACATTTATTTGCTAGTTATATAACAAATTTTTAATTATTATTTTTTTAAATATAACATTAATCACTTTATATTTGAAAATGATTTATAAAGTAGAATCCTAATTTGTCGATCTACAATTTGGTTAGAACAATTAAGTAATATTTCTAAGAGTAAAAAATGTTCCTTCGTTTTTTTTTAATATTTTTATTTTATAAAATTTTTGTTTTGTATTACTTTCCCTTTTATAGATTTAAATCATTTTTCTACAAAAAACCTTTTTATACATAGTCCATATTTGTGTGAGTTACAGTGTGAATTAATAGCACAATTTTTCTATTACCTATGTACGTGTATTTATTAATGTACTAACTATGCCGATTGTGCCTTGTCTTTAGTGATCTGATAGGAACTAGTATTTTAATGTGGCTAAGTTGTTGATATTTTTATGAAATGTTTATGTGATAATAATTATATAATAACGAAAGAGAATCTCTGAAATAACAGTAGGTGAATTTTTTGTAATAAATAATTTTATTACTTAAGATCAAGCGTAAAATTAAAAGAACGTTCTTTAAAAGAAAACGTTTGAAAATGTATAAATATTTTGATATTCGTATTAAAATTTAAAAATATAAAGTATATATATATTTTTTTTTTTTTTTTTAAAAGGATAAAATCAATTCTAAAAGATAATTATATTTTCTTCTTATAATTTAATCAAAATTATTAATATAGAATTTGTGTATGATTTTTCAACGATTAATATAAATAACTAACATAAAAGTATGTTATAATTACGTATGTAAAAATGCTCTAAAAATTTGATCTTGATAATATAAGTATAAAGTGTAAGAAATTAGTCATGGAAAGCAATTCTATGTAGAATGCATATATATACATATATGCACTGTCGTGTGAGTAAATAAAATATTCTAAAAGTGATAACACTTATGAGATTGTCAATAAAAACAATCTTTTAATATTATCTTATTTAATTAGTTTTCAGGAACTATTAGAACACTAATATTCAATATAAATGCTACAGATTTGTTCGTACATTAATCGTGTTGTACAATACTGCATGCGACTGCTTATAACTTAATGGAATATGCTTGTTTATATTAGACGTATTATATAAAATAAGTTAAATAAACGACTTATCGTATATCCTGGTAAAAGGCTTACTGTAAAATTTGCTATTTTTTTTTGCTAGCGTAGCACATAATTCTTGTAATATGTATATATATATATACATATATATATATATATACATTATTTTTACAAGCAATCGTCATAAACGTATAAATGATACACACATTAATGAAAATGATAACAATAACGATATGAAAAAATTACTTTCTATTAATCGAGAACACATTTGAGACATTGTATTATTTTATACTAATTTTTAATAGTTACTTCAAACAACTTACCATTAATAATCATTATTCGTTTCAATGAAATATATTCAATATCATTGTGTAGTAAATATTTATATATAAAAAAGAAAGTATTAGCAATTGAAATATATAAAAATAATTCGAACAACGTATGCCTAAATATTTTCTATTTAACACTAACATAATAAATTGTCTTTGGTACTTGTAATTGATTCAACGAAATGATAACACTATTTAAATGTCTTTTCAAACATTTTCATAATGTTATGACAGCATAAATGAAATTAAACTATTATGTATATAACTTTCTTTTTATATTAAATTTTACGAGATTGGAAATGAGTTATTTCAATATATTAAGTATAATTACAAATATTTAAATTGAAAGAGAGGAAATATCAAATAATAATTAATATAAAATATTTTATACAAAAAAAAAAAAGAAAAATATATATTGGACGTTCACAATATAGTCTAATAGCGATCTTCATAATTGTTCAATTTTCTAACAAATAAAACAAATATCAAATATAACATAACAAATTTTATACTATTTTGAGATTTTTTATAGATTATGCATTATCGTGTGTATGTGTGTATCTAAATTACTATAAATAATTTATCTTTAAATTTGGCTGGCACCTTCCAAAGAAAGTCTTTGATTAATATTTTCAACCCTTACTTTCATTTCCCTGATAATATCTTCTGCAAGATTATCGACAGTTGTGTATCTAACTTTGAAGAAATTAAATATATCTATGAGAAATTCTATGACCTGATCTTTAAAAAATTGACAAGTAGATCGTAGGCTTCCCTCGGGACCTAGAAATCCCCAAACAAGTACTGGGGTTATTTGTTCCGAAATGGAATAGAAATGAGCCAAGAAACCTTTGTCATATTTCAACATTTGTCTTTTCCCGACCAACATTGACCATACCGCTGTTCCCACAGCCTTCAACAAAAAGATTCGACATTTAAACGATTTTAAATAAATTTTTGATGTTTATTAACAAATTGTTAATTAATATTTATTAGTTTTGATTATTTTTAACTGACCGTTTCTCTGAAACTCGCAGATATCCATCTGTTTTGAAGTATGGCCTTGATGGAAGATGGCGGCTTCTCGACTTCTTCGAAGGCATCTAATAGTATAAAGTCAATTAGTACATCATAAAAATTAATACATTTAACACCTCGATTAAATAATTCCTCCTCAATTATTTCACTGTTTCGTGGCTCGTTCAAAAATTCTAGCATGCGGTCGTAATGTACCAAATAATCTTTCGGATCCTGAAAAAAAAAGAAATAATAACGAACAAAATTATTCTTAATTATTTTGAGACTCAAAATTTTTTAACCCACCAATATAAGTTGAAAATACATACTCTGTCGGCAAAAATGATTAAATCGCTAATTATTTGACGCCCAATATCAGCTATCCAAATGGAGGATGACTCTATACTGAACAGTTTTGTGTATGCTTGACGAAGGCAGTATACTTTAGCCAAGTACTCAACATCGGAGCCACATTTAACCAGCTCTGTATGCAATCGTCTGTAATGCAGTATTCATATTAGGTGAAATACGATATTTTTCCTTGTTAACGTGTAAGAAAAGAAAAGAAAAGCAAAAAGAAATCCAAGAAATCAAGAAGATCTTAACCATTCATTGATCAATCACGTAATATACTCGTGATGCATGTTGCACATGCAGAAAACTTATGTAAGTTTTAAAGATTATGTAAGATTTTAATAATTTTTAATGTAAGTGCATTCAGTTCATCAAAACTTCAATTTGCTATAACTTCGAAACAAGTTCAATAGAACATATATTTATATGAACTTGTTTTCTTGATTTGATACATTGCCATCCCATTCTATTATACTCTGTACATTTGTAACATTTATATACCTGCAAGGAATGCCTTTATCTTCGTGTTGCTTGAGTGCAGCATGATATAACTTTTGTCTTTCAAAATGTGGAAATAGTTCGGAAAACTCTTCGAATTCACGTAGATCAGCTACCTGTAAAGAAATTAAATTGAATTACCTAAAATGTTCATAAAGATTTATAAAAAAAATTATAACATATAAAAATTGGCACATATTTTTCGAGAGAACGAAAAGTATTCAGAGTTGCAATGAAGAAGAAAAATACAAGTAAAATTACACGACCAATATGCAGTTGAACTCATTTTTTAATTTAAAATAACATTCCTTGTTATGTACATGTATCATTCGATTTTATGGGGTTGCCTGGAAAGTTCACGTTGCGTTGCTTTTAAATTTTTCTTTAAAAATTGGCACAAACTTTTTGGATAAACCAATAAACAAAAAGTTTGGTAATAAAGAAGAAAAAGAAGAAGAAAAATAAAAAGGTGCATTATGAAATAGTTGGTTTGATTTACGAATCAAGATTTGAATGAATCTGGTCTTTTATGACAAGAAAAGAAGGAACTTAAAGCGATTTTCTCACTCGCGTTTGCACCCATCTTAGTGGTTGTGGGTTTCCCCTTCGTCATTGTAGTCATTCGTTGGTATTCTACGCGTAAAAGCCAACGACAACGTACCAACCAAGTCATCGTCCCCAAGCGTAGGAGGAAGAATTGGAGAAGAAGAAGAAGCGCGGTGATGCTCTCGGAAAAGGCTTAGGAGATGAGGGCTGGCGCACACAGAAAAGGGGGAACGGACGACATCCATGGACGAGAGAGCACTCTGTATCTTCCGCATTCCAAACATGAAATTCATAGAACGCCTCTCGTCTGTAATAAACTCTCTCTTACGTGTACTACGATAGCACCTACTATTTTTCTTAACTTTCATTAAATTATTTGCAATCAAACGCAATACATATCAGAAAACAATACTTTTTATTTTGATATTACTTTGAAATTTGTATTTATTGGATTGGGTTTTAGTATCGTAGTCGTTTCATCGTTTAATTGCCGTTACCATGGATTTTCATTCGCTTTTCTCAAATTATCCCCATTTTAAAGAAATTATCACTTCAAAAAAATAATAAAGGTTTGAATCTTGTATTTTGTTCTAATCTTCTTCCTCTTCTTCTTTCTTTCCACCTTTTATTACGCTTATTTTAATTTATTTCCTTTCTTTCTTCGTATCAACGTCTTATCGTATATCCCTTTTATTTTTATTCATCGTTACGATTTTACTTTTCATTTTTGTTGGTTGTTGTTATCGTTGTCATCGTATTTGAAGAAAAATAAAAAGAAATCGAAACGCGTAATATTAGAAGTGATACGACCGATGAATAAATTATTCTAAAATTGTTATATGTTCGTTGATAGAACGTGATTACCTCGATGGTAGATGATAAAAAATAATGTTTGAAAGGGTAGCGTAAAAATTACCCCGTCTCGTGCTGATTCAAATGATTCTGGTGAAGATGCAGCATCAGCTTTTTCCTTTCCCGATATTCGCATTCCTAGGTTGGATGGATGGTGATCCTCTAAGCTTTCCTGACTATCGTCACGAAACAGCACTGAGTGCTATATGCAAAAAAGAAAAAAGAAAAATGGAACATGTTCATATAATATAATACATATACATTCATACACGCACGTGTAAAAATTGTTTCGCTAGTATATGGTAAAAAAATAAAAAAAGACAAAAAAATAGATCGCAAGAGGAAGGACACTAGTGACGTATTTGAAGTGACACTGGACGAGAGAATAATAGCATTTTTTTTGTATATGTCGCCAGTGTCAACATGGTATTCAAACGAAACGAGCAATTATAACGAGGGGTGAGGGATGGACAGTTGGACAATACCTGATCGATGAATAAAAGCTCCGCGTGATTCTGAATTTCATAACCCATGTCGAGGAGATCTTGAACGTCCTGCGTAAACGCCGCGTCCGCTTTTGATGGCAGGGCAAGGGCATCGTTGCTCAAAGTTGAACTGAATGCTGATAGTGCATCCTCCCAGTAAATTAATGCTTTTTGTAGAGCTTCCAAACCTGTGTATCATTATCATTGACATTGGGATTAATATTCATTTTTATTATGTTAAACATATTTATATTTATTGGGTTGGCCAATAAGTCATTTCTAAATGTTTATTAGTTTGCATTTCAATTTATAACAATAATATTTTGTATTAAATAAATTTTTTAAATCTTTTCCTGTTTTAGTATAATTTAACTGAAAAGAAATGTTTAACAATATTTTTGATTACAATAAGAAAAGGGATAAATATATTTAATATTAATAGTATCGAGAAAGATTATCTGGCAACCTAATAATCGTTTCAAACGAGAGCATGCTTTTTGCATGGAATTAGTCATCCTCCCGCCCTCCCTCCTTCCCTCTCAAGTATCACCCTTTTTAACCTATCTCTCTAGGACCCGTCTTTATTTAAAATTTAAATTACCGGATATCTCATTGTGTGCTAGATTTATTTTTTTACTCTCTCTCTCTCTCTCTCTCTCTCTCTCTCTCTCTCTCTCTATCTCTGTTTCTCTTTTTTATTAAAGTAGTAGTAGTAGTAGTAGGATAAATGTAGTTGTTTAAAATTCCGATAAAAGTAATCTTTAATACAAAGGGAAATAAATACAAAGAAAACGTCGTTTAATTTCTAGTTTTATAAAACGGCTTATTATTTACATTAAAAAATATGCTATTTATCGAAATTGTAATTTATTATTGAAATAAATTTCATTCGATTATTATGATTATTATTTTTGAAAGTGAAAAGGTGTGTTTACCTGTTACCAAACGAGATAATATGCGTAAACTTTCTTGTAATAAATTTCATAATGACGATTTTCGTTTTCTGATTGGAAACCTTCGCATCGTGTAATAAAAAAGAAAAAGTTTTTTTTTCGAGTTTATTAATATTCATTAGAAGTGAATGTGAAGTAATATGGAAGAACAAGAATTCCTTCGGTTCGAGAATGTCAACGAAATCCACACTGGGACTATTCATGTTATATTCAAAGAGACCTCCTTTTGTATATTCCATTAATGAACGAAAAATTGTCTAAGTATTTTATATTGTCAACGAAACGTTTTGTGACCTGGTAAACTTACCTCTCGGATATTTTGATTACTTTTTTTGTAATAAAATTGTCGATCTTTCAACAGTCTTTTATGTATTAGATGTTAGATTTTATTTCAAAAGTAATCCTGGTAATAAACCACACTTTGGATAAGTATTATAAATCAATTAGGTGTATATGTGTGTGTAAGTGATTTATGATGGCAATAACAATCTGATTTAATATATTTTTAAGCTATCCTATGGTTCACCATATATTTATAAATATTTATATGGGTGAAGTCTTGACAAAAAACAAAACATATTTTTAAATAAGAAAGGTGTTTGATAAAAACAAATTGTTTTTGTATTAGATTTCAAATTTGTCAACCCATCCTATATATATATATATGTATGTTTAATTACAATTTTTATATGTTCGATTATTTTTATTTACAACATACATATACATGTACATGTATATATGTGCGTGTGTAAGCATATACTAGAAAATTCACCGGTTGTAATAATATTTGTTCAAGGAGTAGCAATGTGCAATTCATGAGTGCAGCTGTATACAAGGGAGAGGTTGCACCCTTCAACCGTTGAGATTGCTTTCGATTCGACTGGGGTTCAGATAAAATATTTTCTACCCCGAAGCAGCAAGTTGTCTATTGTGGCTATTAGATTTTAACGATGAACGTTTATTCTTCCATTTTCTTTTTTTCTCAGATCGATAAATTTCTTGACCAACACAAGAGAGTGAACGAAAGAGAGAGAGGGTAAAGAGATATTAATTATTTGCGAAATATATGGCCTACGAACATTATTATAAATGATAAAAGGTATCTAAAAATACTTTAAAAATTCCTATACCTTGACGCAATAATCGATCGCGTTATAGGTCGATCCATTTTCCTCTGCTTTTAATCGGTCCTCTGAAATTAGAGTTAATTGATCTTCCGGAAATAATTGACTCTTCGATAAACTCGTTATTGAGTTTAGTATCCTAATGGCTCTCTCCCCCCTCTTTTTTAAAAAAATTTATCGAGAGACAATAAACTTACCTTTTATTTTTTTTTATTTTTTGCTTCGAAAGAAAAAATAAACTTTAATCTATCGAGGGTCAAAGGTCAAAGATAATTTTATTCTCTAGATTATCATTAAGATCTATTAAACTAATATTATGACTTAACGATAAAATCATGTTATTTATGTTCAACGTGTTAGTGCACGAGATGCTTTAAATAAACATAAGCAGCAACAGGTTTACTTTTTTTAGATTACACCCGTTAGACGTCCATCAATGGTTATTTAATTGTTAGATAAAAGTGAACCCTTTGACTTTATACTTTTGCAACGTACTCGCATGCATGCGCCACAGAAACTGTGCTATTATATGTAGTAGATATTGGTTTATACATATATACATGTATCTGTAATTGGAGGAGGTTTAATCATAAAAGTAACGTTTATGTATAGGGTGTTTGAAGGTTTTCTGACTAAACTGTGTCACCGTATCCCTTGTAAAAAAAAAAAAAATAAAATAGTAAAATGTTGTATAAACATGAATCATTTAAAACTTTAGTTCAAAAGTTATGATTTCAATTATAAATGTTCGTGTTTACTCGACACCATGATTGTACCATAAATTTCCAATTGATTATTCTTAACCCTTTTCTTACGCGTTTATCTATAATAACGTTTTACTTTTTCGAAACGATTTAGCTAACCCCAATCGATATCGGTCATCTTTAAATTTCCTGATGGAATGCTATCGATGGAAATGTCAAAAATATTTTCAAACCAAAAATATGTCGGACATTCGGTTGTGCGAAGGTAATAAACTACTAGAGGCTGCTGTAAAAGAGAAGTATCAATGCAGATTTTCTGCCAGAATAGTCAAGGATCGATCAGTTCTTCCAATTGTGCATTCATAATTATGTGAAACAGGCTCGTTTAATCCAACAGCGGTTCTTTGAACAAGAAATTAGGTGATTTATAATTTGTGTCATAACTTTTCGATAATACTTTGGATGACCCTATGTTTATAGAACATTTTTTTTTTCTTTTCGTGCATAAAATACATTGACACCCTTTGGCTGGTAAAACCTCAGACACCCTGTATGTACATAGAAGAATTGTATCCATATACCGTGATATTGCGTAATAGAAGCCAACACATAAGGCGACTAGGTAATACGTATCGTTCACGTTTTCAAGCGGTATATCTTAAAAGAAACTAACATAAAGAAAGAGTAAGACGCGGCGCCAGAAGGCCATTTTTGTTTTAAGAACTATCCTATATTCCGTGTTAAAGCGAACTTAAACTCCGTTATTATGTAACATTTACATAAACTCTAAGGTTTATAATAAAAAAAATTATAAAACTGAATAATTGACAGAGACACGTATACATTTGCAAAAGTAGATCAAACGAGATAATACAAGTAATAGATGTTTCAAAGAAAAGAAATTGTTACATTCAGTACAAATAACGATACGTTATTGTATTTCTATTATTCGTTTGTCAAATTCAAAAATAAAAATAAATGGACATGTTGGAAAAGGAAATTAAAAAAGAAAAAAAAGAAACTAAACACACATCGATAACAAGTTGATATTTGAAAATATATTTTCAATAACGTATTCGTTTCAATTAACGTATATGTAAATATAACTCGAAACGTTATTTGTTTTCTCCGTAATCTTCTTCTTCTTTTTCTCAATAAAACCATTCGTCAATCCCTCGTTGGATATTTTATTGGATTGTTCGATTTTAATTGGACGGTTTGTTGTTATCGGATATCAGGTCTCGTTTCGATTTCAACTAGTTTTAATAAAAGAAGACGAAGAAGAAGAAAAAGATAAAGAAAAAAAAGAAAATGAAAAGTACAAATTTATTTCTAGTTCTCATCTTGTGTCAGAGACAGACAAGATTCAAAGAGTAGATTTAACGTTCATGCAATTGGATAGTAGAAGGATATCAAGAAGAAGAAAAAAAAAGGGAAATGAGGAAAAGGTGATTAAAAACAAATTTTCAGTCTCGTTAAGCCCTTTGACAGAAATGAAAAGGAGATAAATGAAAAAAGGGGTAGGTAATAGTAGTAGGTAGGAGCATCGGCAGGAAAAAGAAAAAAAAAACACGAGTGTAAGAAAGACAATCGAGATGAAAAGTGTATGGTTGGAGGATCAAAGAAAAAAAGTGTATGCAGCATTTGGTTCTGGAGACAAAATTAGCGCGAGAAACACGTTCCAAGTAGTAGTATAACGACGACGATCTCGAAAGCTTTGCCATGGAATCCTGTGACGTTTCCCTGTAACGTGGTGTTGTCCTCTTCTTCTTCGTGAAGTCTCTCAACAGAGTAGTTTCCTCCTACCCGCCAATATAACCCTGACATTATCAAATCTCCCTTCCCTCCTTCCCTTCTATCATCCCTTCCAAATCCCTCTTCCTATCAGTCACCCTTCTCCTCCTGCCAACCACCCTCCTTCCTCTCCCCGCCCTTGCAGTAGCAGCTTCGAAGCCTTGCCGGCACTTAAAGCAGCTAGCAAGGAAGGCTACCCTCGACCGTTCGGCTCCGCGATGCTGCCGGATGGTCGGCATCAATAATACCGAGAGGTGACGTAATGTTTTCGGCGGCACGGCATTGGACGAGTTGGCGTCCAATGGGTAAGGGTCGATACTGTTGGTGGAGCGAAAGCGAGAGAAAGAAAGAGAGAGAAAGAGAGAGGAAGTGGAAAAGAGAGAGAGAGAGAAAGCGCACGTTCATCCCCGTGTGCTCGCTCTCACTCTCTTCGTGCTAGCTCGTGCTACATCGCGAGCTACTCTATACAGGGTGAGTTAACTAACGTCCGTATACATTGAAATATCGTGTTCCAAGATAATAGAAATTTTCAAGCTAACCTATATATATACTAATATATTATATATATACGTTTCATGATATAAACAAATAAATAAAAATAATTTTTACTATAAATAATTACAAAAAAAAAAAGATATTAAATTAAAATAGAAATAAATCAACAATAATAAAATTAAAATTAAAAAAAAAAAAAAAAGAGATATTTGAAGTACGGACAGTAGGTGATTCACCCTATACGTTTATCGCAATGTCGCGACGCACCACGTAAGCGCGTAAAAGCGCGCCGCGCGACTGTACGGGTCGCCGCTGTAACGCGCCCGTAAAAGCCACCCCCCACCACCGCGCGCCCTCTCTCACGTCTCCTGGCAGGCTAGGCGCACTGGCGTCGAACGACGCCGCGAGGACATCAAGGGTGGGGATGAATACTCGTACATATGTGCGCACGAGTGCATGAGAGAGAAAGAGAAAGGGAATGAAAGAGAGAGAGAGAGAGAAAGAGAGGGAGAGAAAGAAAGGGAGCGAGAGAGAAAGGGATATCGAAGGTGCATACTGCGCACGACGAGGATACGGTGGGAATAGGAAGGCGGGGGTAACTAAAGTGAGGGTTCGTAAGGGTGGGGGGAGCGCAAGAGACCCGTTCCTCGCAGTGGCGTCAGTTATTCGGATTACCGATCGTCGTACGGTGTACTTGTTCTCTCTCTCTACCCCTTTTTAACTGTCTAATAATTTTCTCGCTCTCTTTTTCGCTCATTTACTCGCTAAACTCTCTTGATCTCTCTTCCTCTCTTTCTCATTCTCTTTCTCATTCTCGTTCTCTGTCTCTCTCTTTTTTCTCTCTCTCTCTCTGTCTCTTATTGTTGATTATTATTATTATACACGCGTATATACACTATTTAGCATTAATCTCGCTATCGGTGTAAAATATACTTTAGTATCCTCGACATTCGAGGAGAGGAGAGAGAGAGATTGTGTTTAAAGCGCACGAGACAAGGTGGTATCGAGAGACGGAGGACAAGTTCGCGCGTTTCATCTTATAATAAAGTATATAATATATATATAAATATATATACATATATATATATAATATATACATATACATATAAATATATTTATATATAATGAGGGATATCGCGTGTATTTGTGACAGGTAGAAAATATAAAAGGGGGAAATATAAAATAAAACAAAAAAAAAAAGAAAAAAAGGCTGAGAGTTTAAGTGAGAGGAGAGACAATAAGCGTGAAAGGGAGAAAATTTATTTACTAGATAATCATCACATCGTTCTTCTCTCTCTACACTTCTACGACTTCTACTACCGACTACTACTACGGACGTCTCTTCGTCACCGTCAAAACTTTCTCCGAAAAGACAGAGAGATTTCGTTAATCGCGTGGATACGCGATACGAACAAATTCTCAGAGAGACAGAGACACACACGCATCCCGTTCGAGGATATTTGGATTAAAGAGAACGTTTTCTATGAGAGCGAGGGCATAGGACGAGCGTAAGTACGTTCGTACGTTTTTTTATTTCTTTTATGGGTCTCTCTCGTCTGAACGTGTCTGTCCTAACTTATTTTATTTCAAACGAGTATTTTTCAATGGAGAGACCACGATCCTATTCTCCCTGTTCCTTTTCTTCTTCTTTGATCGAAGGAAAAAGGGAAGGTCGTGGCGTTTTTACGAGGAGAGAACGCGTTCTGGTTTCGTCCTGATGGGTCTCTCTCTTTCTTTCTTTTTCTTTTTTTCTTTCTCTCTCTCTCTTCATATATATACGTCGATTATGGATTTTTCCTCGACCTTCCTCGGAAATAGGTTTGCTCGACACGTACGACAGAGATCTTCATGTTTTCCGGAAACTAACTTTATTTTTAACGTTCAATATCCTCATGTGTTATTTAATCGTGATACAATTCGCCATTTATTTTAATACTATTTAAAACCCTGCATGTTAAAACTCAACATATCCATTGCTCAGCTTTTATTCGTATTTAATCATAATCCGCGTAACAGATCAGGATATAAAGGACTGTTCGCGCGTGTGTGTGCAATTGCATAATATGTGCATTCTTGAGTGCGTATCTGTGGGTTGAGGGGGGTGTGCATTTTTCCATGTGAAAAATATTGCTTTTACTATTATAGTTTACAAAATATTTTCTCTTAACGTCAGATGTTTAATTTGAAAATACAATTTGGGGGGGGATGAAAAGGGCAAACGAATTCGCGCTTGATTTCGAAAGCGCAGTAGCAGCAGCATCAGCAGGAAAAGGAGGATGAGGAGGATGAGGTGGAAGAGGAGGAGGAATACAATCGACCATCATCTAACCTTGAAACGGTCACCGAATGACCCGCGCGACTCCTGAGCTTATTTTAATGTACAAAAACGTTCGTTCAATCGTGAAACGATAGTCCGTCATAATCCAACGTGCCACATCGAGGCTGGCCCTTCCGATAGACTTACCCTTTAGGTCAAGTTCAGAGGTCAATACCTCGTCGTATAGGCACAAGAGGAGAGAATCTCGGAGAATAGGGAATGTGCGAGTGCTTCTCTGTACGCTATGGTACATATATATATAGTAAATATAGGAACACGGTTTCACCCTTATCCGACAGATCGATGGAGGAGAGGATGCCTGGTATACCGGTGAACTTGGAAATTTTCCTAGCACACGCGCAATATCCTTCCTACCGGCTGACACGTTCATTCTTCTCTTCTATCGTTGTTTACTTTAATGCTTATCGTGACAAGCCTTATCGTTTTTACATTTTCTTTTCTATTACTTCTATTTCATAACATTTTGACAATTATTTGTTCTACAAGAAAAAGATCTCACAATCACTTATTATATTCTGTGATATTTATTACATTAGAATATATATTTTCTATATGTATTATATTTTATTTTTCATGACAAATGACAAAATTCGTTTATAATAACGGATTATAGTCTCGTAAAAAAAAAAGAAAAATATCTTTTAAACCCAAAAATAGAATAACAGACGATTTTTTCCTTTCTTTTCCATTAGACGCGGAAACGAATTCCATTATTCTTCTTTCACGAATAGTGCATAAAGATTAGAAGAAAGAGGAGAAAAAGTATAAAAGAAAAAGAATGAGAGAAGCAAAGCCCCAGTCGTTGACGCACAAAGTTACTTTCAGTCGTGCTCGTTCCTCTCTTTCTCTCTCTCTTTCTATTTTTCTCTTTCTATCTCTATCTCTATTTCTTTCTGTATCTCGGATCGTATTGTCCGGTTACGTGTACGAGGCTAGAAAAGTGTTATTTTCGCGAAGCGTGACGGTGAGCAGGCAGGTGTGAATAATAGCCTGCACATTTGAGGGAAAAGATAGCCAACGACGATAGTAAATGAATGTTTGGTTGTGTTTTCAAGTAAAGGAAAGCGACATTACAACACCATGTCGACGACACTACAAACCTAACGCATAAATGTTTGCTTACCACCCATACACACCTTTAAGGATGGGATTTTGTTATCAGACAACAAAAGAAAAACACCAACCTCGCGTCGCGGTTATTATCGTTTCGCCATTAGCGTAATTGACGTCACTGTCTTCTTTAGCGAGAATCCCCTTGAAAACTTAATCCTGCGCGGTTTCCTACCTTGGGCGTGAACGATTCAACAAGTTGTCACAGCCTACCAGCCAGCCGGAACAAAACTCATGTTTCTTGATCCCTTTCCCAGACGCATTATCATCCCTCTAACATGTTTGCATCATTTTTCTACTAACGATCCTTTTTTTTATTTTTATATTTAGAAAATCATCCCCTTTTATTTTTTTTTTACTTTCTAAATTTTCCACCCAAGATGCATCCCTTCAAAGTGTTTTACAAGTTCATTCTGTCATCTTTTTTTATAATTTTATACTTGAATACATTTTGCTTCTCAAATGTATCCTCTCTCTCTCTCTCTCTCTCTCTCTCAAAGAAGAATGATTTTACGCGTTTCAAATTTGTTAAATATCTTCTTTGATATTTTTATTTTATTTTATATATTGTGTAACTTTATACTATAACGGATTTTGTTTTTCGAACAAAAAAGCTTTTTCTCAACAAAAGANACCCAAGATGCATCCCTTCAAAGTGTTTTACAAGTTCATTCTGTCATCTTTTTTTATAATTTTATACTTGAATACATTTTGCTTCTCAAATGTATTCTCTCTCTCTCTCTCTCTCTCTCTCTCTCTCTCTCTCTCTCTCTAACTTTCTATAACGTGTTTTGATAAATTTTATAACGATGATAAAATTGTTCTTTGATATTTTTATTTTATTTTATATATTGTGTAACTTTATACTATAACGGATTTTGTTTTTCGAACAAAAAAGCTTTTTCTCAACAAAAGAAGCATCACAGCACACCGAACTAACCTTTTTCTTTACCAAGAGATATGAGAATTTTGACCCTAATGCATTCGATCTTGGCAACGTTTCAACTCTCTCTCTCTCTCTCTCTCTCTCTCTCTCTCTCTCTCTCTCTATCGTAGACGTTTTCTTTCTCTCTTCTTCTAACACACAAACTACAACGTTTCTAGTTGCAAGTTTCCGTGATCAAGATTAAGGACATGCGTGGGAAACATGCGGAACGAGTATATCCTAGAGACTTTAACAGGAAGATAGCGGGTGGTATAAAAGAATAAATCGTTAAATGTTAAAACGAACGAATATTCTTATGTTTGTTCGTTCGTGAATAGCTTAATGTTATTTAATCGTTCAAATCATTTTCTAACGTACAATCGTTGCATTATTAAAATATCAAAATAAAACTACGCGTAAACGTTGTTTACGATTCATTATAAGCAATCTAGTATTCCGAGAGAATATATATTTCTATTCCTTTCGAAGGAATCTCATGTATTTAGTACGCGTTACTTGAATAAGGACGAGAATGATAAATTCTTCTTCGTTTGATAGGATTCAAGATGAAGGACGCGAACTCTCACGAATGACAAATATTACGAAGACGACGACGACGACAACTACGGTGTGCATTTAAATTCGACGAGAGATGATAAATTTGCGAGCAGTTATTTCGTTAAACTACATCAAAGCTGACGCAATGGTTCAACCGTATAATACGATAAACACGATACCATTATGTTTTTTATTTAATTTTTTATTTTTTATTTTTTTATTTTCCTCCTTCGTCATCGTTTGCTTTACCGTCTCACACAGGATGACTCAGAATATCTTAAGAGTAATCAAAATAAAATAAAATATAAATGTAAAGAGATAGAGATGAGAAGGGAAAGAATTAAAAGAGAAAAGAAGAAAAAACGAAATAAAATAAAATGAAGGGCAACGGGACAAACTTAAAATAGATTTGACAATTATCCAAAGAAACTCAACCACGGTTAGAGTAGATGTCGGGCAAAGTTTTAGAGACACATCGTGTAAGAAGTTTCGAAGCAACATTTTGGAAATTTCGAAATAGCCGGGGTCAGGTCGAACACACAAAAGGGAGGAGGGACTATTTTCGCAAGCTCATGCGGTTAGGAAATTCCAAAGCGTTCGAATAGCATGCATAGGTGACACACAATTAGGTCGATCATTAAGTAACACACCATGTCCTCTCCCCATCATTATCATCATTATCATCATCATCATCATCATCGTCGTCGTCGTAGTCATAGTCATCGTCGTCGTCGTCGTCACATCGTCGTCATCGTCGAGGATGTTCGACCCTGATAGGATTAATAAAAGTGACATGTTCATATCTCAACTTAACGAGCTGTTAACCTGAGAGATCTGCTCCGATTTCCATAACCGAGTTCGCATAGTCGATTCTCCGTTACCCCTTTCATTAATTCGTTCATTTATTCGTTAGATTATTCGAAGCCCCCTAAACATTTCTTTTTAACCAAGGAAATCGAGTAATGTAGGCCACATATCGGTGGTATGCATCGGGAAGAGCAACATATTTTGATACAAAAATATCTCTGTTGCATCGTTCAAGATATAAAGCAAGAATAAAAGATATCGTGCATTCTGCTTTTTTGATATTTTCTTTTCGAAACAGCTGCACGCACACATATACACACACACATTTTGATTTGAAACGTGATAAGCTGACATTGGTATATAACTTGTTCCGTAGTTCTACACAGGAGATTGTATATTTCTTTACCATCTGCCTTCTCTCTTTGACAGAATTCTTATTTAATTTATAATACAGATATTTTAATTAATTACCATTCACGTATCTAGATGTGCTAGTTAATTGTGATATTAGAGTAATTAAAAAAGGTAATAAACATCAAGTTGATTATAGCAAGTTCGTTCAATTTACTTTAAGTAATTAACACGGATAAATTCGCACAGGTGTGCGACTGATCAATTTAATATTAAATAAATTACAAAAATTCATATTTTTCAATTGAAATTTACTTACACTTCTGATGTCATAATTATCGAGACACATAAAAAAAAGTAATTTATCACAGTTTTGTCATTCATATGTTTTGTCATTCCTGTCACGTTCCTCCTTCCTCCTCC